TACATTGTATAACAATCGTGGGTGCCCATGTGTAAGAATTATATTCAAGTCGTAAAAATTTATAATATGAGAGTTGCTTGTAGATTACTTAATTAATTTCTGGGTATGCTAACTATCCTGGTTTGTAGCGCGTACTCCTCTCGCAGGAATTTAATCGGATTTCTATCCCTTATATGAATGTTGTTTAATGCTAATTTTCTAGCTATACAGATCCCAAAATTGATAATTTCGTCGTTTTAATTTCGCCGTAGTGCAGGGCCGTGAAAAACCATAATCCCACGCATAAGGCTCTGATTCAAGCATTGGTTGATTACAATATTCTGTCTATAGAAACAGGGATGTTAAAAAAACACCTGGTATACAGAATGCGTGATAACATTGGAATAAGCAATGACGTGATATACATTGTATAACAATCATGGTTTTGCCAACAAGGACGGCAGTACACACCGCGTACAGACAAACTTCTAGAGAGGAAAACAGCGACTCGAGAAGGAGTTATGCAGACCGTAAATCCAACCATAATCATTGCTCCGCACTCCGTCTCTAAATCCCACTCACTGATCCTCATCCGCACCCCAACATCCTTCTCTCTCCCTGTTCTCCTCTCCGTTGCCGCGCGCCAACAAGAACAGCAGAAAACAAACAACACAACATCAACAACAACAACAAACAACAACAATAACCATCTACGAATGACGACGATAGCAGCATCCCGCCCTCGTACGACCGGTGACGGGAACTCACAGATGATTGTAATAAAACTCTGGCGGGTCCGGCGAAGAAGCTAACCACGAACTCATCTGTGGCATAAAAAGCCTGAGTTCCGCCGCACAGGCGCAAAGACTCGTGCCAGTCACAGAGTCAGGATGCCGGTGTTGCACGAGAGCATTGGGGTTTGTCCAAGATCGTGCAGCCGAGCTCCTTATGTGCACGGCGCGCGAATGCCGTGTACCTGCGCTGCGTAATAGGTGCACGTGAAGTGTATCTGCCGTGCACAGATGCACTGACCGCATGCGTGCATGTGTATGTGCGAGCATACGTGGTGTACGTGCGCGCAACGTGTGTATGTGCCCGGGTTTTACGCGTGTGAATGTGGCACGCATGCGTGTATGTGCACGCACGCGTGTAGTGGCGCGCATGCGTGTACGCGCAACGCATGCGTGTACGTGCACGCACCGCGTGTATGCGCACGCATTGCGGTGTATGCGCACGCATGCGGTGTATGCGACACGCATGCGTGTACCGCACAGCATGCGTGTACGTGCACGCACAGCGTGTACGTGGTGTAGTCGTGTGGGTTAGGGTAGGGTAGGGGTTGAAGGTTAGGGTAGGGGCTTAGGGTTGAGGGTATAATTATATACCTAACCCTAATATATATAGAATATAACCCTCACCCTAATGTATATATATTATAGTATGGTAGGGTATATATACCCTCACCCTAACGCCCTACCTGCTAACGCCTAACCCACACAACACACCACGTAACGCCGTGCGTGTAGGTATATATATATATAATGTATATTATAAGGGTTAGGGTAATATATATATATATAACCGGCTAACGCCTATATATATATATATACCCTAACCCTATATATGATATATATATTATATATACCTAACCCTATATATTATATATATATATAATATATATTAATATATACCAAACCTCATATCGCACACGCCCCACGCGTACGCCTCGTGTCGACGCTGACCGCTCGATCGAGTCGCGCCAACTCGCAGTCGCAAGTGTAAAACTGCGCTGCACACAGTTCATAGAACGGTTGTATAGAAGATCATCGGTGCGAAGGTGCAGAGATGGCTATGGGTGTCATGGTGGCACCTAGTATAGGTACGACGGCTGGTTCAGCATCTCACTGAGTCAAGCAGTAGCGGACGTGCGGAGCAGCCTAGCTTACGATATGGATCTTCCGTCGTCCGCGCCCCCCCCGCCCCGCTTCTCTCTCTCGCTCTCTCGTTCTCTCCGTCTCCTCGCTCTCTCGTCGCTCTCTCTCTCTCTCTCTCCTGGGCTCTCTCTCTCGCTCATCTCTCTCTCTCTCGCGCTCATCAGATCGTCTCTCTCGTCTCTCTTCATCTCTCTCTCTTTCTCTCTCTCTCGATCTCTCTGCTCTCTTCTCTATCTATGCTATCTCTTCTCTCTCTGTTGCTACTCTCGTCATCTGCTCTCTCTCTCCTCTCTCTCTCTATCTATCTACTCTCTCTCTGCTCTTGCTCTCTCTTCGTCTCTCTCTCTCTCTCTCTCTGGCTCTCTCTCTCGTCGTCTCTCGTCTCGCTCTCCCTCGTCCTTGCTCGTCTCTCTCGGTCTCTCTCTCTCTCATTCTCTCGTCATCTCTATCTCTATCTCGTCTCTCTCTTGCTCTCTCTCTGCTCTCTCTCCCTCTGCCACCCCGGCCTCTCTCTCCCCTCCTCCTCGTCTCCTCGATCTCCCTCTCTCTCTCTCTCTCTCCTCTCTCGTCCTCTCTCTCCTCTCCTCTCTCTATCTCTACTCTCTCTCCTTGGCCTCTGCCTCGTGTCCTCTTCTCGCCTCCACGCTCTCTCTCTCCTCGCTCTCTCTCTCATCTCTCTCCTTCCTCTTCTCCTCTTCTCTCATCTCTCTCTCTCACTTGCTCCCTCTCTATCTTCCTTTCCTCCTCCCACCTAAGTTGCAGTAATACTACAAGGATTGCAAAGATCAAACGGAAGTTAACAACCATCACGGCCAAAGATTCATGCAAACATTCATGTCTGATTGTATACGTAGCATTGTATAACAATCGGGTGCCCATGTTAAGAATTGTGGTAACAAAACACTTGTATATAGATTGTGATAACATTGTATAACAAGCGTGATACGATTGTATACAATCATAGGTAACAGTTGTGATAAGGACCGAGTACAACACCGCGTACACAAACTTCTAGAGAGGAAAAACACCGACTCGAGAAGGAGGTTATGCAAACGTAAATCCCACCGATAAGCATTGCTCCGCACCGGCCAGGATAGTGACGTCTCTAAATCCCACTCACAGATTCTCATACGCGATCCCCAACTATCCTTCTTTTCTTCTTCCCTGTTCATCCTCTCCGTTGGCCGGACCGCCAACTAAGAAACAGCAGAAGAAACAAACAAACAACAACAACAACAACAACAACAACGAACAACACAAACAATAACATGACGATGACGACGATAGGAACATCCCGCCGCCTCCGTATGCCAGACAGAATCACAGTGATTGTAATAACAACTCTGCGGGGTCAGGCAAGGAAGCTACTACGCGACTCTCTGTGGCACGTAAAAGCCTGAGGTTTCCGCACTGCACGAGGCCGCCCAAAGACTCGTGCACAGTCAAGAGTCAGATGCCGTGTTGGTACGAGAGCATTGGTTTTGTCCAAGATGTGGCAGCCGAGCTCCTTATGTGGGCACTGCGCGCGTCATGGCGTGTAATCATACCAGCGGGCTGTAGCTGCGGCCTGCGTTACCACAATAGGTGCACGTGAGTTATCTGCCAGTGCACTAGATAGCAGCATGACCGCCATGCGTGCATGTTATGTGCGAGCATAGCGTGTGTAGCGTGTACGTGCGCGCACAGTGTTAGTCAGCACGTCGCGTGACGTGCGCGCGATCGTGTACGCACGCGCGTGTACGTGCACGCGACTCGCGTGTATGCGCACGCCACGTATGCGCACCATGGCGGTGTATGCGGTATGCGCAACCATAGCGTGTACGTGCACGCACGCGTGTACGTGGTGTGTGTGTGGTTAGGTTAGGGTTAGGGTAAGGGGTTAGGGGTGAAGGGTATAATATAATATACCCTAACCCTATAATATATAACCCTAACCCTAATATATATATATATATATAAGGGTTAGGGTATATATATATAACGCGCTCACCCTAACCTAACCCCTACCACCCCCACACACAACACACTACCCGCGTGCGTTAGGCGTATATATATATATATATATATATATATAGGAGTTAGGGTATATATATATATATATATATATATAGTATTTATATTATTATACACCCTAGAC